TGTATACATGTGCCATGTTGGTGTGCTGCACCCATTAACTCGTCATTTACATTAGGTATATCTCCTAATGCTATCCCTTCCCACTACCCCCTCCCCACAATAGGACCCCGTATGTGTGATGATCCCCTTCCTGTGTCCAAGTGATCTCATTGTTCAATTCCCACCTATGAGTGAGAACATGCAGTCTTTGGTTTTCTGTTCTTGCGATAGTTTGCTGAGAATGATGGTTTCCAGCTGCATCCATGTCCCTACAAAGGACATGAACTCATCTTTTTTCATGGCTGCATATTATTCCATGGTGTATATGTGCCACATTTTCTTAATCCAGTCTGTCACTGATGGACATTTGGGTTGATTCCAAGTCTTTGCTATTGTGAATCGTGCCACAATAAACATACGCGTGCATGTGTCTTTATAGTAGCATGACTTATAATCTTTTGGGTATATCCCCAGTAATGGGATGGCTGGGTCAAATGGTATTTCTAGTTCTAGATCCTTGAAGAATCGTCACACTGTTTTCCACAATGGTTGAACTAGTTTACAGTCCCACCAACAGTGTAAAAGTGTTCCTATTTCTCCACATCCTCTCCAGTACCTGTTGTTTCCTGATTTTTTAATGATTGCCATTCTAACTGGTGTGAGATGGTATCCCATTATGGTTTTGATTTGCATTTCTCTGATGGTGAGTGATGATGAGCATTTTTTCATGTGTCTGTTGGCTGCATGAATGTCCTCTTTTGAGAAGTATCTGTTCATATCCTTTGCCCAATTTTTGATGGGGTTGTTTTTTTCTTATAAATTTCATTGAGTTCTTTATAGGTTCTGGATATTAGCCCTTTGTCAGATGAGTAGATTGCAAAAATTTTCTCTCATTCTGCAGGTTGCCTGTTCACTCCGATGGTAGTTTCTTTTGCTGTGCAGAAGCTCTTTAGTTTAACTATATCCCATTTGTCAATTTCACCAATTTTGGTGTTTTAGACATGAAGTCCTTGCCCATGCCTATGTCCTGAAAATTAATTAGATAATTAATTAATAAGACTTTTTTTAAATGGATAAATTGTTTGGTTGTCCTTCTCAATAATGAGGTGTTCTTTGCACTAATAAGTGATCTCCAGTTTGTTGAAAAAGAAAAAGGGCTCGGTTCTCAGCTGCAACTTCTCCCTTTTAAGCTGCCCTTCATTGTAGCCCCCCAGATTATGTTTGCTTCTGCCAGGAATGCTCATGAGAAACCAGCAGAAGGCATCAGGTATACTGATAGAACTTATCTAGGAGGCAATTTGGCGATACATGCATAAATACATTTAAATATATATATTAACATGCATTATGCTTTGATACACCTATTTTAATTGGATTTTACCCTAATAAATTACCTGAACAAAGATGTAATTATTAATAGAAAGATGCTAATAAGATTTTCATAATATCTAGGGAAAATAATTGGAAAACAACTTCAATATCCAAAGCAACATATGGGCTAAATTCTGATATATCCAGACAACCAAATACTGAACATATTAAAAAGTCATAGTGTCAGAAAATGTGATGTGGAAATCCATTCATGCTATATTAGGAAAAGAAAAACAGCAGATTACAGAAAAGCAAATATAGAAATTTTTTGGTTGAGAAAAAGTTATACTAAAAACTACCTTTGCAAATACAGTCATGTATTGCTTAATGATGGGGTCATATTCTGAGAAATGTGTTGTTAGGTGATCTCATTTTTGTGCAAACATCATAGAGTGTACTTACAAAAACCTGCATGCTATAGCCCATTACATACCTAAGCTATATGGTATAGCCTATTGCTCTTATGCTACAAGCATGTTCCTGGATTGAATACTGCAAGCAACTGTAACACAATTGTAAGTACTTATGCACCCAAAAAATAGAAAAAAATATAGAAAAAATAGAGTATGAAAGATTTGGAAAGAGCACATCAGTATAGGGCACTTACCAGGAATGGAACTTGCAGGACTAGAAGTTGTTCTAGGTGAGTCAGTGAGTGAGAGCTGAGTAAACATGAAGGCCTAGGACTACTACACACTACTGTAGCGTTTTTGATTCTTGTGTAATAACACTTAGCTTAAAACAAAAATACGTTGTACAGCTGTACAAAAAATTCTTTATGTCCATATTCTATTTTTTCTATTTGAAAAATTGTTTTTTATCCCTTAAACTTTTTGTTAAAAACTAAGACACAAATGCACACATTAGCCTAGACCTACACAGGATCAGTATTAGCAGCATCAATATCACTGTTCCACCTCCACATCCTGTTCCACTGGAAGGTCCTCAGAGGCAATAACACACATAGAGCTGTCATCTTCTAGGACGATAATGCCTTCTTCTGGATACCTCCTGAAGGACTTACTTAAGGATGTTTTACCATTAACTTTTGTATGCATAAGTAGAAGGAATACACTCTAAAATAATGACTAAAAATATAGTTTAGTAAATACATAAGCCTGTAACATAGTCATTTATTATCAAGTACTATATACTGTACATAATTGTATGTGTTATACTTTTATATGAGTGTCAGCACAGTAGGTTTGTTTACAGCAGCATCACAATGAACACGAGTAATGCATTGTGCTATGACACTACATTGGCTATGACGTTACCAGGTGATAAGAATTTTTCAGCTCCACTATAGTCTTATGGGACCACTGTTGTATATGTGGTCTGTCATTGACCAGAACATCATTATGTAGCACATGACTGTACTACTTTACACTTTTACATTTTATTCTCTAAATTCCCTAGAGTGAATATGCATTAATTTTGTAATCAGATAATAAATTTATTACATAATCAGAAGTTACTTAGGAACTTCTCTTCCACATTTCAAAGTGCTATGTGAATTCCAGGAGGAGTTTATCAGATAATTATAAAAGCAAGTCAATGCAATCATTTTACCAATTGGACATTAACTGCAGATGACCCAAGATGGGCCAATCAAAGTCTCAGTTGCTCCCCAGTGATGGAAAGTGGGACTCTAACACTACGTTCCTTTACCAGGTGGAAAATTCAGACTAAGGTAGGAGGTGATAAGACTGGTACACAGACAGGAGAAAGAACACAGTAGGAAAAGCAAACTTTGGTAATGTTTCCCTTACCTTTGGCCTGAATACGTGTTTCACTCCCCTCAGTCACATAAGCTATCCCCAAAACTCCCCTTGTAGCCTAAAATTGCTGAAGTTGGGTTTCTGTCACTTACAACCCAGAGTCTGGCCTTAGCTTTTACACAGAGAAGCTCCCTGACCAGATTCAAGCCCACAGGAAGTCAGTGGCACATTTACCTGGTTTTTAGCTAGTCATTCTCAAAGTGGATCAGATTAGTGATCAGTAAATGATAAGTTGAATTCTTGAAATGACAAAATAAGAGATGAATGATTAGTGGTTGCCAGGGGCTGGGGTGGTGGGGAGTGAGATCCTTACAGGGATGGGACAGTTTTTTATCTTGATTGCAGGGGTAGTTACACAAATATACATGTGACAAATGATGCGAGACTATCCACCCACATTGCACCAGTGTCAAAGTCTTGGTTGGAATACTGTATTATAATCATGTAAGATGCAACCACTGAGAGAAACTGGATGAAGGGTGCATGGGGCCACTACCTTCACAACTTCCTATGAATCTGGAATTATTTCAAAATATAAAGTTAGGAAAAAAAGAAAGCAATAGCTGTAAGTCCAGCATGGCATCCTAGATTGGATCTCAAAGCAGAAAAAGACATTATTGGGAAAAATGGTAAAATCCAAATAAACTCTGTAGTTAATAGTAAAAAAAAAAAAATGATATGTAGAACTGAACTGAAATAAAATGAATCAGATTTAATTGAATTGAAAAATTACAAGTAAGGTAAACATAGAAGGTATTAAATTAATATCATTTCATTTATTTTGTCTCCCCAAACAATAAAGACTGGACATCTCTTTGTATTACTATGAGGGTAGGAGATGAGATGTGAAATGTCCCAATTACTACATTATCCTCAGTGTCTACTATAGGACCTAGCACATACTTGCAACCCAATGACGAGAAAATAAATGAATATGTGTTCTCTTCTCTATCCATAGGTTACTAGAAATATATTGTAACCAGTTATATGGGATGTGACCACCACCATGTCCCATAGCTTAATAAATTATGATTGAAGCTAACATAATAACTAACTGCTGACTGCGTAACTTTACTGATACTCCCTGTCAGCTGAATATGCAAAGTGAATGTAGCATGTTACCTGCAACTTCCTCCTTAAATGAAGGAATATTAAAGTCTCAAATGACTCTGTTAATGGAAATTGAATAGTACAATGGCTATTTAATTTTCTAAATAGCTGCTATTTCAGTGCCATGGATGCCTGCTATTAGGTAAAATCAGAAATACATTAGACTCATTGCATTCACTGAGAAATCCAGTGAGGGAAAGAAAAAAAAAAAAAGGAGTGTGAGTGACTAGATGTCACAGAGGATCAATTTAATACACAAGAGGGAAACCATTCTTACATCACAATAGAAAATTTTAGGCAAGATTCTTTCTGAAAAGTGGGAAACTCTATGTTTGAACACCCTGCCCTCTATATTATATTCCATTAGGTCCATGTGATTCCTTCAGTAGCATTTATTGATTACCTAATATGTGTCAAGTACTGTTTTCTCCAGGAAACCCTTCAATGACATTGTAAGTGAGAGACTATTATTATCTTTGTGTTACAGTTGAAGAAACTGAGGTACTGAGAAGATAAATGACTTGCCTGTGATCAAACAGATTGTCAGGAGTACACCTGAGATCTGAACCCAGGAACTACAATATATTGCTTCTTAATCATAAAACTTAAAACATCTTTCAGTAACTGTTTACCTATCAATGTCCTTCACGAAACTATAAGCTCTTAAAGAGCAGAGACTGTGCTCAGTTGATTATCCAGCACCTAGTGCGTCATGCAGAGTTTGTGCTCAGTGAATGACTGAAAATGTGAACTTCTTAATTTACAGATTTTTCTTGATTTTTTTATTCATAAGAAATCAATACAGTATTGAATGAGCTTAGAATTCAGAATTTTAAAATACAGACTGTTCATCTCTGTATCTTCAAGTTCTGGCACCGTATCTTCAAGTTTTTTGATGTGTTCTCAAACAAAAGAGACTGAAGGAAGAAGTTTTTTGAGTAGCCTTCATGTCCATGATCATAAGAGCACTTCAGTTAATACATAAAATCTGCAGTGAAAGACCCAGATGGAAATGAGTCTGTCTAATTGAGCCATGAGTGGCTAACCACACTAACACCCAAAGCCATCCCTCAAATTTCTCTCTACATAAGAAAAAACAAATTGAGGCCAGGCATAGTGGTTCACACCTGTAATCTCAACAGTTTGGGAGGCTGAGAAGGGAGGATCACATAAGGCCACGAGTTCAAGATGAGCCTGGTCAACATAGCAAGATCCCATCTCTACAAAAAATATATATATTTTTAACTAGGTGTGGTGGGACATGTCTATAGTACTAGCTACTTGGGAAGTCAAGGTGGGAGGATCGCTTGAGCCCAGGCTGCAGTGGCTAAGATCCCACCACTACACTCCAGCCTGGGTGACAGAGCAAGACCCTGTTGCTAAAACATATATATGTTTTTTTAATTAGTGTACTTCTACTAATCAGAAATTTGCTTATCTTTCCCTCAAGTTACAATAAAATTTGACCTTTGTGTTACTAGTTTTCGAAATTTACTATATATTGCTCACTTACCTCGGAAAAAATAATTAATTAAAGTTTGAGTTATCAGAATAGGTGGTATATAAACAAAGCGCGTTTAAAAATAAAATCATAGGGGACTGGAGGTTATATAAAGAAAAAAGGCTGACAATACTGTAGGCTTCTCTATTCAAACCTAAAAATAAACCTAACATGGTCATATCCCCTTCTTTAGATCTTCTTTGATGTTTGCATATCTTTTATGGTTCTTCTAACCTTCAACTGTTAGGTGTAGGAGGTGAATTCCTCAGAACTCTCCTGTAAGATCAGAAGTCTGCATGGTTGGGACTCTGTCTTGTTTGTCTCTGCATTCTCAAGCATGAAGCACTTGGCCTTGGGCATAATTAGCTAGTCAAGAATTTGAGGGCTGTTAAGCTCTTCTTCGATAGTTTCTATATTCCTGTAACATAGCACAATGCCTGCAACACAAAAGGTGCCTAATCAGTATCTGTTGGGTTAGTTGATTGAGTTGAACTGAATTGTCAAAATGTTGGTATCTATACTTTGACTTCATTGTACTCTGTTCCTTCAAGCTCCTTCATGAAAACTAAGTGTAGTCTTCCTCACATTCCTTATCTTGACTAGCCATCCAAAGTCAGTCAATGTTATCCCTAAAATGTTCACTGGAACTATGAAAGGTGGGTCCCAGTCTCTCCTTCTTCAAGATGAAAAGACAGAGGCAAAAGAGGTTAACTGTGTTTTCCAAGCCCATACGGGCACTAAGTGACACACACAGGTTTGGAACAATAATCTGTATGGATGTAGAACCTCATATTGTCCATTTTGCCTCACTATTTTCTCATTCCAGAACACACAAATGTACATATGCATGTGAACATGCAAAAAACCAATTCCTTTTTGCCTGCAAGAAATAAGGGTCAAAAGACCTATGCTCTTAGAGTCAAAACCAGTCACAATGTCCTGTGTTCCTTCATTGACTAAGTTCAGTTGACAAATATTTATTCAGAACCACCATGTGCCCAGAACTTTATTAGGTGCTGGGGAATTGGCAGTGAACAAGACAGGTAAGTAGTGGAGGGAGATAGAACAGGTGTCAGTAAATTTTTCTGTAAAGGGCCAGATACTAAATAATTTAGGCTTTGCAGTCCAGATGGTCTCTGTCACCATTATTCAGTAATGCCCTTAGATCCAAAGCAGCCATTGACAATGCATAAACAAACAGGCCAGGCCATGTTCCAATATAACTATTTACAAAACCAGGCAGGCTTGATTTGACCCACAGTAGTTTGTAAACCCCTGAAATAGAAAATAAACAGAGAAATAAATGGAAATAGACAAAAGCATAGAGATATGCTTAGTTATGCATATGCTTATATGCATAGGTCAGTTCTATGAAAAAAAAATAAAGCAGTGTAACAGGATAGAGACAGAATGAGAGGCAACTTTAGATAGGGTAGCAAGGCCGGAGATGATATTTGAGATCAGATCAGAAAACTGATGAACTGGCCAGGCCAGAATCCTGAGAAAGAGCTTTCCAAGTAGCAAGAAGACCTAGAACAAAGAGCCTAAGGCAAAGTGTGTTTGAGGAACAGAAGGAAGGCCAGCATGTCAGGAATAGGGGTGATAGGAGATCAAGTCAAAGGGTTGACAGAACCAGATCTCATCAGGTCTTGAAGACACAGGGAGGAGATAGGATCCTTAAGTGCAGCAGAAAGCATTTAAAGGTTTTTAGCAGCACAGTGGTATGCTTTAATTTGTAAGTTTGAAAGTGTTAATTCCAGCTCCTGTATGGTGAATGGGCACTAGAGACAGAAGAGTAAATTAAGAAAAACTGGAAGGGGACTTGCATGGAAAGGTAGCAGAGCCGAGAGTAAGAAGTGGTTGGATTCCAGAGAGGTTTTGGAGGTGCTGGTATCACCAAAAGTTTCTGGGGACTGCATGCAGAGTAAAGACAACGGAGGATTCCAGCATGGGTTCATTTGGTTTCACATACTGACACAGAACAATTGCTGGGCATTGGAGAGACTTAGGTCAAAGGGAAGTGGTGCAGGTGAAAAACACTATTGGGTTGGGTGCTCTGAAGGTTGACCCTAACTGACCTCAAGGTGGCTTTACTCAGCACAATCTGATAAGAGAACACTGCAGAGCCTACCAGGTAATGCCTATTGTATCATATAGGTTTCTGCAACATGCTAACCAGACAAGGAAGAACTATTTTAAAAGTATTCCCATTTCTTATCACCAAAACACCAAACTGGGGAAGCAAAAATACATGGCCCCGCTCAGCAGGGACCGATCTGACGAAAGGACAAAACCTCAAATATTCTAGTGCCTTCTCCACCAGACATTCCTCTTTGGGCTCTGAAGGACCACATATTTAGATGTTAAAAGTGTTTCTGAGGAATGTGAATATCAACCATTCCCTAGGGAAGGGGGTGCAAAGAACCATGACTGGGGATACAGTCTGAGGCTTTCTGAGGAAATCAGTCAGTACTCTAACGCTCTAAACGGCTGAAGACCAGACTCATTCTCCTGCAAGAAGCTTAAAGCCTTTCTCTCGAAGACAGGCATACTTTCTGTTCTCCTCATTATCAGAAATGCTGTCAGGCACATAGTAAGAGTTATGTAATAGGAAGCAATACTTTCCGGCCATTTCTCCATCCTCCTGTTATATAATAGTCATGCCAAGATGAAGTGGCCAACGTCTAAGCCACAGAGATGCAACCCTGTCAAGTAAATTTATAGTTTATACTTCCTTTTCTTTTTTTTAGCAAGTACCCCCCCCACTACCCCTCTTGGTTCCCCTTCCCTCATGCCTCCCCAAGATGCCAGTTCCCAAGCTGACTTTTTTTCTCATTAGGTAGACCTCTTCCATTCATGAAAAAAGAGAGAAAGGCTACTTTAATATATTCACTCACTTATTCATGCAGCCAATCAGTTGACAACTATTTAATAGCCTACCATGTAAAAGATTCTGCAACAAGGTGGAAAGATAATACACTTTAAATAATGGATTTGGACCTATCGGTGAGGTGACCTGGGACAAAAGACTCAACCTTTCTGAACTTTGTCTGTAACAGTCTAAGAAGACCAACCTAATGGGGTTTGGGGGAGCATTCAAGATAATGGAAGCAAAGCACCTCTCTATAGCTATTATTGTTCTTCTTAATATTATCAAGCATTTGGAACCAGGCTTACCAAAATGACAAAGACAAAGTCTCAGCTCTTAGAAAGCTCAAATCCAGTTAGGCAGATGCTAAGATAAAAAAAAAAAAAGGAAAGCAATAGTTGTCATTTGGTGTAAAGGGTACATTGCTAAAAGAAGAGGGTGTCATGGAAGAAGTGAGAAGCAGTACCCAACTCAACCAGGTCACTCTTATACCACATGGCAGCATTTCATGTCTGGTATGCCATTGTAAGGTCCAAGAAATAATCAACCTTATAGCTGAATCAAAAAGAAGTCAGGGCCGGGCATGGTGGCTCACACTTGTAATCCCAGCACTTTGGGAGGCTGAGGCAGGTGGATCAGTTGAGGTCAGGAGTTCGAGACCAGCCTGGCTAACATGGTAAAACCTCATCTCTACTGAAAATACAAAAATTATCTGGGTGTGGTGGCACACACTTGTTTTCCCAGCTACTGAGGAGGCTCAGGCAGAAGAATTGCTTGAACACGGGAGGCAGAGGTTGCAGTGAGCCAAGATCAAGCCACTACACTCCAGCCTGGGTGACAGACCAAGACTCTGTCTCAAAAAAAAAGAAAAGGGAAGTCAGGAACTCAGCTCAGCTTGGGAGGAATTTAATACAGGATGTACAAACTGTGACTCCCAGGAATTCAACTCCTTTGAAGTTCAAAATTAATTAATACAATTCACCATATCAACAGAATAAAGAGAAAAAAACATGACCAACTCTACTGAGACAGAAAAAGCATTTGACAAATGTCAAAACCTCCTCATCACAAAAAAAAAGTCAACAAACTAGAAATAGAAGGAAATTCATCAAGCAGATAAAGAACATCTATGAAAAACCTACTCTAACATCATACATAATAAGACTAAGTGTTCACCTCTAAGTTTTTGGAACAAGGCAAAGATATATTCTTTTCAACAAATGGTACAAGCTAGATATTTATGTGGAAAAATAAAAATCCCTTAACATCTACCTAACACTATCCACAAAAATTAACTTTAAATGAATTATATTCCTAACTATAACCACTAAAATTATAAAAAACATAGGAGAGAGAATCTGTGGCATTGATTGGGTTAGGCAAAGATAGCTTATGCCCAAGAAAATGAAGCATAAAGAAAAAACTAATAAGTTAGATTACATTAACATTTTAAAACTTCCATCTTTCAAAGACATCATTGAGAAAATACCTGGAAAATCCTCGAAAATTCACAACACATATAGCTGATGATGAATTTGCATTCAGAATATAGAAAGAACTTGCAACTCAGTAATAAGCAAAATAGCTAAACCAAAAAAAGAACAAAACATTTGAATAAGCATTTCACAAAGTCTACAAAGTATTTTTTAATGCCCCAAAGTATTAGTTATCATGGAAAAGCAAATTATGGTCACAATAAGATACTACTACACATCTTATATGGTTTGGCTGTGTCCCCACCCAAATCTTATCCTGAATTGGAGCTCCCATAATTCCCACATGTTGAGGGAAGGACCTGGTGGGAGATAATTCAGTCATGGGGGTGGCTCCCCCATACTGTTCTCATGTTAGTGAGTAAGTCTCATGAGATCTGATGTTTTTATAAGGGATTTCCCCTTTCACTTGGCTCTCACTCTCTCTCTTGCCTGCTGCCATGTAAGACGTGCCTTCTGCTTTCCACCATGATTGTGCGGCCTTCCCAGCCATATGGAACTGTGAGTCCATTAAAACTCTTTTTCTTTATCAACTGCCCAGATTCAGGTATGTCTTTATTAGCAGCATGAGAACAGACTAATACAGTAAATTGGTACCAGGTAGTGGGGCACTGTCATAAAGATACCCAAAAATGTGGAAGCAACTTTGGAACTGGGTAACAGGCAGAGGGGTTAGAACAGTCTTGAGGACTCAGAAGACAGGAAGAGGTGGGAAAGTTTGGAACTTCCTAGAGACTTGTATGGTTTTGACCAAAATGCTGATAACAATATGGACAATTAAATCCAGGCTGAGTTGGTCTCACATGGAGATGAGGAACTTGTTGGGAACTGGAATAAAGGTGACTCTTGCTATGTTTTAGCAGAGAGACTAGTGGACTTTTTCCCTGCCCTAGAGATTTGCGAAACTTTGAACTTGAGGGAGATGATTTAGAGTATCTGGCAGAAGAAATTTCTAAGCAGCAAAGCATTCAAGAGGTGACTTGGGTGCTGTTAAAAGCAACCAGTTTTAGAAGGGAAACAGAGCAGAAAGGTTAGGAAAATTCGCAGCCTGATGATGCAAAAGAAAAGAAAAAACTATTTTCTGAGGAGAAATTCAAGCCAGCTGCAGAAATTTGCATACATAACAAGGAGCCAAATGTTAATCACCAAGACAATGGAGAAAATATCTCCACAGCATGTCAGAGACCTTTGTGGAAGTCCCTCCCATTACAGGCCCGGCTAGGAGGAAAAAATGGTTTCATGGGTTAGGCCCAGGGTCCCCCTGCTGTGTGCAGCCCAGGGACTTGGTGCCCTGCATCCCAGCCACTCTAGCCATGGCTAAAAGGAGCCATGATACAGATCAGGCCATGGCTTCAGATGGTGCAAGCCCCAAGCCTTGGCAGCTTCCATGTGGTGTTGAGACTGCAGGTGCACAGAAGTCAAGAATTGGGATTTGGGAACCTCCACCTACACTTCAGAGGATGTATGGAATTGCCTGGATGTCCAAGCAGAAGTTTGCTGCAGGGGCAGAGCCTTCATGGAGAACCTCTGCTAGGGCAATGTGGAATGGTAATGTGGAGTTGAAGCCCCCACACAGAGTGCCCAGTGGAGCTCTGAGAAGAGGGCCACAATCCTCCAGACCCCAGAATGGTAGATCCACTGACAGCTTGCAGCATGTGCTACTCAACACCAGCCCATGAAGGAAGCTGGGAAAGAGGCTGTATCCTGCAAAACCACAGGCATGGAGCTGCCCAATGATGTGAACACCCACCTCTTGCATCAGTGTGCCCTAGATGTGAGACATGGAGTCAAAGGAGATCATTTTGGAACTTTAAGATTTGACTGCCCTGCAGGATTTCAGACTTGCATGAGGGCTTTAGCCCTTTCATTTTGGCCCATTTCTCCCATTTGGAATGGATGTATTTATCCAATGCCTGTACCCTCCATTGTACTTGGGAAGTAACTAACTTGCTCTTCATTTTACAGGCTTATAGGTGGAAAGGACTTGTCTTGTTTTAGATGAGACTTTGGACTGTGGACTTCTGAGTTAATGATGAAATGAGTTAAGACTTTGGGGGACTGATGGGAAGGCATGATTGGTTTTGAAATGTGAAGACATGAGATTTAGGTGGGGCCAGGGCAGAATGACATGGTTTGGCTCTGTGTCCCCACCCAAATCTCATCTTGAATTGTAACTCCCATATTTCCCACATGTTGTGGGAGGGACCAGTTGGGAGATAACTGAATCATGGGGACAGTTCCTCCCTACTGTTCTTGTGGGAGTGAATAAGTCTCATGAGATCTGATGGTTTTATAAGAGATTTTCCTTTTCACTTGGCTGTCATTCTTTCTTGCCTGCTGCCATGTAAGACATGCCTTTTGCCTTCCACCAAGATTATGAAGTCTCCCCAGTCACATGGAACTATGAGTCCATTAAACCCCTTTTTCTTTATAGATTACCCAGTCTTGGGTATGTCTTTATCAGCAGCATGAAAACGGACTAATACAACATCCATTAGAATGTCTAAAATTGAGCTAAGCATGGTGCTGCAAGCCTGTAGTCCCAGCTTCTTGGGAGGCTGCAGTAGGAGTTCAAGGCTGTGGTGACCTATGATTACTTCATCACACTCCAGCCTGGGTGACAGAGCAAGAATTCGTCTCTTTAAAAAAAATTTTGTCTAAAATTAACAAGACTGACAATATGAGTGCTGGCAAGGAAGTAACTGATATTCTTGCACATTGTTGGTGAGAATGTAAAATGATACAAACAGTTTGGAGAACTCCTTGGCACATTCTTGTAAAGCTAAACACACACTTATCATATAATCTAGCAGTTTCATTCTTAGATATTTACCTAAGAAAAATGAAAACATGTCCACACGACAACTTTTGCCTGAGTGTTAATATCACCTCTATTTATAATAGGCAAAAACTGAAAAGAACCCAAATGTCCATCAATACATGAATGAATCAACACATAGCAATAACAAGGAATAAACTATTGCAACAAAATGGAATAATCTCCAAAACAATATTCTAAGCAAGAAAAGCCGAACATGAAAGAATTTGTACTGTATGATTTTATTAATATGAATTGCCAACAAAGATAGATCTAATCTGCGGTGACATAAAACAGATCAGCCATTGCCTAGGGCTGGAATTGAGTAGGAAGGGGAATAAGGAAATATTTTACAGTAATGGAAATGTTCTATATCTCAGTTGTCACAATGGTTTCATGGGCATATATATTTTTCAAAACTCATTGAACTGTACCTTTTAAAATAGATGCGTTTTCTTGCCTTAAAACTTTCCCTCAATAAAGTCAATTTAAAATAAAGAGGAAGGAAAGAAAGCTAGGTTTGGTTAAGCACTGAGCACAGGGGCTACAAATTTCCAATCCCTTAGAGTTAGGGAGAATTGTAATATCAGCACTGAAGACCAAAACTGGTTGAAAGTTCAGCTACAAAAGAGGTCCTATAAACAGTTCCATGAATATAAACTGAGATGTAATAGCAAGTCATATGATGTCTGTGCAATCCAGTCTATTGGATGGCATACTCAAAAGATAAATGGAAGAGAGTTTCATGGAAGAAGTGTTTATAAAGGTGTAACCAAAGTTAGGAGAACCAGAAAAGGATGGTGTAGAACCCAAAGACAAGCAGCAGTGGGGAGCCATTGCCACAATGAGGCCTGAGCAGGGACAGTTACCAAACCTAGTGAAAGTAAAAGTCTGGGGGAGAACCTCCAACAGCAGCTACAGACTTAGGTGATGAAAAGAGCTCTGGCCAACCTGGCCCAGCAAGGAGTAGGCAAGTGGACCAGGTACCCTGACTTCTCTCTCCTTCTCTCATCCTCTGATCCACATGTTCCTTCCATTGGCCAAACCCAACTAGAAACCAGACAACAAAAAAGCCCCGGCAATACAGGTGCTAGAGGTCAGTTTCATGGGGCAGAGGAGGTGGAGAAGGGTAGAAAATGGATCTGGAGGGCAAACCATGATTATCCAACACAAGATCCAAGTTGTGCTTCAGAATTCAGTGAATCAAGCACATGTTTATCATATTCTTGTTTTACGCCTATCTTGGTACTTGGCTCTGCAGAAGATATTTTTAATGGAATAAAAGGATAATACTTTGTTATATCAAAATGCTTTTTGATCCCACATTTATTGGATTCTCACAAAAGCCTCATGAGAAAGGAAGAGCAGGGATTATTACAGATCAAGAAAGGAACTCTCACGGGGAGAAATGTTTTGCCCAAGGTAACAGTGCCAACAACTGATGGAACTACATGTCCTGATGCCCGCAATGCTATCCAGTCTTATCTACTGACTGGGCAGACCACAAGTGAAGAACTGAGTGTCCCTCTAGTCACTTTGCTGGTCCGTCTGCTTGAGAACTAAGGAGATATTCTGGAAAATGGACAGAATAGTCAAATATCTAAATATACTAATTCCACCCTCTGCACTGTGATGGCCAAAATGCTTATTCTAAAATGTAGGTCTGACTCCTTCACTCCCCTAACATCCTTCAATGTTCTCTTACCATTTCAGGCCTTCCATGACGTGACCTCTGCTATCATCTCCAGATTTATCTCCCATGCTCCCTGGAAGCCTAGCTGAAGCCGTAACTCACTCTTCAGATTGCTTATATCTCACAGCCCCTTTCTTGTCTTCAATCCCTTGTTGTTCTCTCTGCTTTCTCAGGCTCCAAAGACTCCAGACCCACAGAACACTTCTGCTTTGCCTCTTGACAGCAGCTACCTTTTCAGGCAGGAGTACAAGTAATACTTCATTAGTCTAATTTTATCAAGAAAGAGATATTTCTGATGAAAGATTTCTTTCAAACTAAAATAAAAACTTTTAAGTATAATTAAATATCTTGGCTATTTTGGAAGGAAACGTGTCTTACCTCTCTTATCTTTGTAAATTGAGATATTAAGACATAATTTTAGTCCTATTCAGTGACCAAGGGTCATTATTACTTACACTGCAAAAGCCATGGGAATTACTGAGCTATCATACACTATTGTCCTTGCACAGAATGCCAGAAGGTTGGCACCTACTGAGTCTTCTCTACTTCTTACTAGTTGTTCTCTGCCAGGCTCTCTGGATTTTATGCAGCTTGCCTGAGCAGAACCTTGCGGCCCCTTCGTCTTCACACTTTTTAAATTTTCTGTATCTAATCTGCTATGTCTTAGGAAACCAGATTGCCAAGTGAGGACTGTTTCTAAGAATAAATAAGTTCTGTTTCAAAGCCAGAAGCATGTTGCTTTATTCCATGGGATTTTCTTTCCTCAGAGAAAGAATCTCCCTGTGTTGTTCAGGCTGGTCTTGAACTCCTGGGTTCAAGCGATCCTCCCATCTCAGCATCCTGAGTAGCTGGAATTACAGGCTTAAGCCACCACACACCTGGCCCTCCACTGACTTTTTGATACTGACACCGTCATCTCTAAGTCTTTTTTTGCCCATTTCCTGGTTCTCCATATTTGTCACAAAGCTGATAAGTGGCCTTTGAATAAGGAATGTCTTATCAACATCCCAGTACATTGCTGGGAGTGATCTCCAGTGCTGGCTCATTAAACTGTTCAGACTAATGTTCACATCTGGTCTCATACCTCAGGGGCACTTTCCAGAAGGTTACTCTATCCTTTTCTGCCTTCTTAGCAAAACTGAATTATTTCAGGACAGAAATATGTTGAGGTAGGCACAATCTTGTCATTCTGCACAAAGAAGCCATTCTTAATCAGGGTCATCCCAGCTTCTGCAAGTTTCCAGGGTTTACTCTCATGGGCAACTCAAAAGGGGGACATCCATTGGTCTGCATCTCCCCACAGACCAGGGTGTGTATATGCTGAAGAACATAAAGGTGTCCTCCCTGGAAAAAGCATAATTGACCCTTCAGTAAAAATTATAAGGGGAATGTGTTTGGGACTAGTAATGATGAAGGGAGGGAGGAAATCAAATTTTTTCAGCATTCACTGTGTGTTCGACTCTCCAATCTCAGCTTCAGCTTCACTCTGAATCTTTCCTGAATGCAATCTGCAATTCTTCCATTTTCAATTAACTCTTTCTCTCATTTGCCCTCCCTGTCATCTGTAAACCCAAACCACTGGGATGCCTTCTTAAATTTATGTATTCAACACTCTGACTCTCCCACTAGTTTCTGAATGCCTTTGAAGGATAAGAATCGGATCTTGGTCATCATTGCATTCCCAGAACCAGCACAGTGCCAACATACATAGATGTTTAATTTATGTTTAAATTCTGGAATGAAGCATGCTTTCATAAAACTTAAGCTGCCTCCTTGTTTTGTTTACTTGGTCTAAGCAGCCTGGATGAGTTAGTAACTTGGGGCTCAGATCTTCTGGTTACTATTGTCTTCAAGCCCTTCTTCTATCTTCTGATTTTGAAGAAAATCTTTGCTGGCATGATTATCATGAGCTACTATATTTCAATGTCAATGAATTAGGTTTGAATGCCTGAAAGACTCTTGAAATTTTATGGGGGATAGAAAACAGAAGAACCTAACTTTTATTTCATCTCCTCTGTTTACAAGCCTTTTGACCTCAGACAAATAGCTTGAATTCTCAGAATCCTAGGGTTTGTTTCACTGTAAAATAGAGATAATTCTACTTCCCTAACGTTACAGAATTGAGAGGATCATATTAGCTAACAAGTGCTAAAGCCATTTGCGATAACTAAAATTTTATATAGCTACAAGGGATTATCACTTTATAAATCATAGGTAAAGCTACAGAAATCAATAATTTGCCCAAGGGTATGGAAAATGGCAAAATGAGATTCTTGAACCAAGTCTTTATCTCTGTCTATAATCCTGCTCTCTCTCCTACAGCCCCTGTTGGGGCGGAAGGGATTGAAAAGATGGTACACAGCAGAGAGGTTCTGAATCTGTTTTGCCTTGTCTCATAACTTTGCCCCCATCTACCCCAATCTCCAGTTAACTTCTCAAAGAATCATGCCATGCAACCAAATGGACACAAAGTTACCATGCACAAGTACCATCTCTTCTTCCGGGATAATGGCCACCAGGCCAGGACGGAGAAACCAAAGCCAATGCATATTTGCATGGTCCATTCACCCTTCCTTAAGACGAACTCTTCTCTCAAGAGTCAAGATGCGAACATTCATCTTTTTGGTTTCTTCAACTATTAGTGCCTAGGACTGTCCACAGGTCATATATCATGGCACTGAAGACAGGAGGTACAGACAAAAGTTGTCACTTGTATTGATATGGTGTGAAGAGGATGATTAATGGAAGTCACACATGACCGCCCAGCTTCTGACTTACCCAAGCTCACTGGAAGTGCTGACTTCGTTATTCTTCATGAGCCATCTTTCCCATCCCGTTCCCCACTGCTGCTTTCAATAATAACATCAGCTTTTGGAGTCTTATTTTTATGGAAGGGAGGGAAAAAGTCGTCACCCAACCCATGCCAGTGTGTCTGAGAAGCCTGCATGTGTGACTTTCTATTCTCTGATTTCCACGCCTTTTGTTGAATTTGAAATTCATTCACTCATTCAACAAATATTTAGGAGTTCCTACTCTCAGTGCTCAGGGATACAGCAGTAAGTAAAACAGACAAAAATCCATGCCCTGGTGAACCTTACATTCTTGTAATAGAAGACAGGTGTGTCTAAGTAAATTGTAAAGTGTGCGACAGGGTGTCAAGTGTGATGGAGAACACAGAGCAGAGAATGGGGGAAGTACCAGGGTAAGGGATTTGTTGCAATTTTAATTAGAGCAGTCAAAGGAAGCCTCATTGATCAGGTGATTTTGAGCAAAGCTTGAAAGAGGGAAAAGGATTAGCCGAGCAGCTATCTGAGGGAAGAAGAGAACTCGAAAGACTGGAAACGACCATTGCAAAAGCCTGAAGGTAGAAACAAGTCCAAATTGCTTGAAGAATAGCAACAAAGCAAGTGTGGCAGGAGAAGCAAGCCTGAGGGATGTAAAAGGGTAGATGAGGTCATAGAGAAAAGAGGGGCTGGATCACAAAGGACCTTGTACATCATTATCATGTCATCAGCTTTTTTTCTTTATAACACGGGAAGTCATTGGAAGGTTTTGATCTCGTTTGTGCTTTAAAAGATCCACCCTGGCTGTCATTTGAGAATAGATGACAGATTGTAAGGGAGAGGCAGGGAGACCATGGCAGTCTTCCAGGTGAGCAATCGGGGTGACTTTGACCAGGTGTTAATTTGGAGGGCTGAGAAATGGCCAAATACTGGATGTGTCATATCTCACTGAAGCCAACATGCCTCTGTTTGTGGGCCACATCCCTAATTTGGAGATATTGTTATAAAAGGTGACATAATCTCTATCTTGGTATTGAGGAACTACGGTATTTCAAAGTTGAACTAAAGGGTTTGCTGGCAGAACAGAAGTGAGGGTGAGAGATAGGACAACTCACGGACGCCTCCAGAGTTTGAGATCTGAGCAACCGAGGATGGAGCCGCCCTCAGTTGGGATGGGGAAGTGCTGAGAGGAACTGATCAGAAAGGGTGGGCGAGGCTTAGGCCAGAGTACAGTTTAAGACAAGTTTCCATGTCTATTAAAAATATAAGTGAACAGGCCAGCGCAGTGGCTCACACCTGTAATCCCAACACTTTGGAAGGCCAAGGTGGGAGGATCACGAGGTCAGGAGATCGAGATCATCCTAGCTAACATGGTGAAACCCATCTCTACTGAAAACACAAAAAATTAGCTGGGTGTGGTGGAGAGCACCTGTAGTCCCAGCTACTCAGGAGGCCGAGGCAGGAGAATGGTGTGAACCCGGGAGGTGGAGCTTACAGTGGGCCGAGATCACACCACTGTACTCCAGCCTGGGTGACAGAACAAGACTCCAATTCAAAAAAAAAAAAAAAATATATATATATATATATGTGTGTGTGTGTGTGTGTGTATATATATATATATAAATAGATATGAGTGAACAAGCCCTACAGGTACTTGAATATGGGATTTCAAGAGAGAAGTTTGGGACAGAGATATAAATTTGAGAGTCATAAAATGCAAATAATAATTGAAGCTCAAAGACCGAATGAGATCACCAAGGGAAGGAATTTAGATAAAGAAAAGAGAACGCAGTGTGGAGCCCTGTGTCTTCCCATGTAAGAGGTCTGAGGGGAAAAAAGAAACCAGCAAAGGAGACAGAGCAGAAGGAACCAGTGAGATAAGATAAAATAACACAAATAATTGAAAATGGCCAAGAGTTCTGGACTGGTTTGGAGAGGAGTAAAAAACAACCTACTTACAAGCTTGTGAAATAAATATCATACAAATGGCTCATATCTATGCTCAGTAAATGACTGAGCAACCAGAATGGGGTTAATGTGGAAATGACCATAACAAAGGGATGGTAAAGAGCGGAAAGAATTTAAGATAAAAAGATAAGGGGGACAGGGTGCAGTGGCTCATGCCTGTAATTCCAGAGCTTTAAGAGGTTGAGGTAGAAGGATTGCCTGAGGCCAGGAGTTTGAGGCCAGCTTGGGCAACATAGCAAGATCCCGTCTCTACAAAAAACATACAAAATATTAGCCAGGTCTGCTGGTGTGTGCCTGTAGTCCCAGATACTTGGGTAGCTGTTGCTGGAGTATCACTTGAGCCCAGGAGTTAGAGGCTTCAGTGAGCTATGATTGCCACTGCACTCTATCCAGCCTGGGCGACAGAGTAAGACCGTGTTGCAAAAAAAAAAAAAAAATTAAAGATAAAGGAATCATATAAATGATTATACTATTTATTTCTTTATGTAATGTGTTTCTTTACAAGCTGCCTTGTTCTAGGAAATAGTTGAAGTGGTTTGTGAGAAATTGGCTTGCTTGCATCAAGTATTTTCAACTTTCCAAGGCAATTTTACCTTCCATTATAATGTACTCCCTATCACCCATTCGGCACTTTCTGTGCCACATTCATTTATTCATTCATTCATTTGTGCCACCAATACTTATTCACAGCACAGTAAGCCAGTGTTCCTGGCCAGGTGTCCTGGGCCAACTTGAAGACACATGGCTCCAACCCGCTTTTCAAGCTTGAAGCCAACCCAGGATACAAGACTAAGTATTTCACAACTAATTTGTCAGGTGCTCATGAACCCTATTTTTAAATCTGAAAAAAGCAGACACACAACGGATAGGTAGCCAGGCTAGCAGACTCCAAAACCTCCCATGCTAAATCAGGGTCCACACTGCCACTAACTCGCTTCTCCTTTCAGAAGTAGGCAGGGAAAGTAGGAAGTCACCCAACAGTAATGACAACCAACGTGTGCAATGCCTTTCAGGTTGAACTCCATGTTCTCATCTTGCCTTTACGTTAAACAATACAGCGGTGTTGGTGGGTGAGCATAGCCAGTCTTGGATGAGGAAGCAGAGGCTCTAGGGAGGTGAGATGACTTCCCCAGGGAATAGCCAGAAGGCGGCTCAGCTGGAACTCAAGCCCAGGTCTCCAAATCTTTACAGCCAGCAGTGGGTTGTGTGCTTAGGGGAAGCTCCAAACGGATAAACGGTAAAAGGCCTGACACGAAAATAAGAGCAACTATCACAGGAGAAAGCAGGCAACTGAGGGGGCCAGGAAACAGCTGGAAGGAGACAAGGCTCAGAGCAGTTCCAGAGAGCAGGCACTTGGAGACAGATAGGGAGGAGCATAGCAAGTCCCTAAGGGGGTTCGGCGGGGAGCCCAAACCATGTACTGCTGCCAAGAGAGGGGTCGAGGGAGCTTCTCTGTTTGCAGGGCACAGCAGAAAGAACCCAACAGACCTGGATACTAGGCTGGCCAAACTTCTCGGCTTACCCAGGACTGAAGTGGTTGCTGGGATAAGGAACTTTCCATCTTAAAACCAGCAAAGCCCCAGCCAAGCCAGGATGAGTTGATCACCCTAGTTAGAATTCCAGCCCTGTCACTTCCTAGCTATGTAAACCTTGGGCAAACTACCTCCCCTCTTCTGATCCTAACCACCACTAAAGTAGAGGTAACAATGTGACCCTGGCAGGTTGATCATGAGATTTAAGTGAAATAAGTGAAAACAAAACTCTAACATACCATCCTGCACTTGCAAGGCAATCAGTACATGGCAGACATTATTATTACTACAAAGTTATTAAAATGAGATTTTCAACTGTACTTTTCTCACCATTCTTGGAGTTGAAATGCAGTCTTCGGCATTCTCCCAGAAACGATTCTCAGGAGTTGAGTTTGCAGCCAGCTGTTATGGGTCTTCATAAACACCAGAAACTTGGAGAAGTCGAGGCAACACTGTACAAGGATTAAGTGAAAACCCAGAGCTGTGAGCTCCTGGGTCCTGTTGCTACTTCTGGGAAGTTTCTGTAACTTGGGAGATTGACATACCCCAGATAAACTTGGCTGCTGAGTTGGTGCGTGCATCACACCAAGTTGACCCTGAGAGTAACAGTGAAGCCTTTCCTCATGATCTCCCAGACACCAGGCACTAGGTGCACTTAACCTTCCCTGTTTATCCCAGACTATGCCCACGCCCATTGCCCACCCAGCCCTCCCCATCACATTCCCCAAGGGGGCTGAAAGGAGTCATTGGCTAATCTGGTAACATCACAATAACTGACCCCAGCATACAAAATCTCAGTATCCCCTCTATGAACATCATTTTAATTTCCAGGAGTACTTGATGCATTAATCACAGCTCTATTATAAGCAGAAAATTCAGGCTCATGCTCTCTCTCTCTCTCTTTAAAAGTCCTTACTTTGAGACTCTACATTATACTGTAAGCTATTTGATCTTTGAGTATCAACTGTCATTGTACTTACTGCACTGTAGTGTCATAATCTGTCTATGTGTCCTGAACTCAACAGAACTCTTGAAAGACAAAAACCATGTGTTATCCATGGAAACAATATAGTATAGCTGTTAAGAATACCACGTCCCAACTGTTCATGGGTACAGGTTTATTTTGGGGGGATAAGGCATGTTATGAGACATGTTCTAAAATTGACTGTGATGTTTGCTCATCTCTGTCAAACATACTAAAAACCATTGAATTATACACTATAAATAGGCAAATTATGGAGTACATGACTTATAACTCAGTAAAGCTGTTTGGAAAAGAAAAAGGATGCTACTGCCTCCCTTTAAATTCTGGCTTCACCACTTACTGTAGCAAGTTACATAATTTCTCTGTGCCTCAGTTTCTTCATCTGTAAACTGGGTTAAAGCAATACCTACCTCAAAGGGCTATTAAGAGGAATTAAATCGGCAATTATTTTTAAACTCATTACAACAGTTTCTGGAACATATAGAGCAGTATGCAAGGATACTTATTTATTTTTCACCTCTGTATTCTCAGAACATGGTTTAGTGCCTGACACATAGTGAGTAAATGATAAAGATTTTTGAAATGTACAACCCAGTAAGCACCTACAGGAACTCAAATATGGGGCATGTTAGTTGCTATGCCTTACTCAATAGAAAGAGGACAGAACTGAGTTGCCAAATGACTTGGGTTTGAGGCTGGGCACAGTGGCTCCCACCTGTAATCCCAGCACTTTGGCAGGCCAAGGCAGGCAGATCACTTGAGGTCAGGAGTTCGAGATCAGCCCGGCCAACATAGTAAAACTCCGTTTCTACTAAAAATACAAAAATTAGCCAGGCATAGTGCCTGTAATCCCAGCTACTCAGGAGGCTGAGGCAGGAGAATTACTTGAACCCAGAAGACAGAGGCTGCAAGATCATACCACTGCACTCCAATCTGGGTGGCAGAGCAAGACTTCGTAAATAAATACATACATATGTACATAAATAAATAAATAAATGTATGCTTTGGGTTTGAGTTCTGATCACCACCTTAGAGCAGGCTGACTTTAAAAAATCACTTTCCCATTTACCCTGAGACTCTGCATCCTCATCTACCGAAATTGACAATTTTGCTTCTACTGAACTCAAAGGGTAATTTCAAAGATGAAATGAATCAACGTATATGAAAGCTCTTTTAAAACCATCATGCGCCAATGTAAGTTCCTCCGAGAAATTGGTGTTGTCCTAAAGATGGCCCGGGTTGCTCTCTTACCCTAAAAGTCCTCTTATTCACTCCCAGCCCGCCTCACTCATTCATCATTGCAGGAAAATGTGCCAAAGATCAAAAACAGGTGAGATCTGACCCCAGGGATAGAGCAAAGAAGTAACTGGACTGTAAGCACCAGCTGGTCCTGTTCTGCCCTGCCCTCGTAGCACTGTGAACAGCTAAGAAGTGCTGTTCCTTTAAACTTTGCCCCTTTGTGGCTCACAGATGAGTAGATTCAGGCAGCAGCTGTCAGCTCTGCAGGCAGCAGAGAATCTTTCCAGGGCAGCATTCCCAGCAGTGTCAGGGTGGGAGGATGAAATTAGGTGAGCCAAGCGACCTGAAAGTCCTCATTCAAAAGCCTCTACTGCCATCTACTGGCTCGCTGGAGAACTCATTGGCAAAAAGCCAAGAAAAGACTAACGGAGGCGGTGTAGAGAGAAGTTTTAGCAATAGATTGAATTGTCTGCATCAATTAGCCCACTCCTCATTCTCCAGCTGGAGAAAATGAGACCCAAAGAGGTAAAGGGGCTTATCTGAAGTCACTCTTCTAGCCCATGGCAGCCCATCATCTCTTGGATACATGTATTAGCTCTGTCCCACCCCATACTGTTTCTGTCTGAATATATAAACTATCAGTAAAGCTGGCCTAGAGCAAAGAGGTTGGTGTGGTGGTTGCTATTGAGACATAGTCTCACTATGTTGATCAGGCTGGTCTTGAACTCCTGGCCTCAAGTGATCCTCCAGCATCAGCCTCCCAAAATGTTGGAATGACAGGCACAAGACACGACGCCCAGCCAGAGGAAAGAGCTTCTGCCAGGTACCCTTTTCCTCTCCATTTTTGGTTCCACCTTCTCTGCTTTGCACCAGAAGCCCCAGACTGGACCTGTTTTATCCATCTAGAACCCAGTGTCTCATACTGTCCAGCAGTCCCTTTCAGGGAGAAAACATTGAGCCATTCACTTGAAAGCATTTGCTTTCTTTTTGTTTTTTTTTTTTAAGAACATGAAGAGTAGAACAAATCCTGTTTAGTAGACACTCAACACCTCCATACTACAGAAAGGAAACTAAGGCTCAGGTACCTCAAAGAACTGGCTCCTAATGTGCCTGACATGAGGATCACCTGGGTATCTTTCACAACCTCCAAAGCTCAAGCCACACGCAGACCTATTGAATCAGAACCTCTGGGGTAGAAAACAGGCATCAATAGTTTTTGAAGTTCCCCCACACCCAGGTGATTCCAGCGTGTAGGTAGGTTTGGGAACCACTGACTGACGTTCTCCTAATTAGTAGGTAAAATGGCAGGAACCGAAGTCTTTCAACTTCCAGGCCAGTGAAGAAAAGTGATGTCCATATTTTAGTTGTTGGCATCACCCTTTGAAGAATTTTGCCACTTCCACACACTAACTATATTAACATATTAAGTGACCCCGTTTTTTTTTTTACTTCAAGCAATGTATTTTTAAAAGAACACCGTTATTCTCAGAAATGGAAAAACAATTTCCTGTCACAAAACAAAAATCCGCCTTTAAAGACATACACTAAAACCCAAAAGGTAAAGTGAAAATGTACATCCATGTATGAAATAAAGTTATCTCACTTTCTAATTTGGGGGAGCCATTGCAAAGAAAGGTACCCTCTCTGCTCCTGATTAGACTGAAAGAAATGCGGCAAAAATGCACTTTGGGGCAGAGAGTTTCTGTGTTCATTCACTCCACGCTTCTCCATGTGTATGCACCATTTTCTCCGTCATTCTCTCTCCAGCCTCGCTACTAAGCTCGGGAGGAACTCCCATCAGCATCCCCTGTGTTGTAAGACCTGAGCCTGGGACTGCGGGTTCTGGCCAAATTGTAATTGTGACAGCATCCTGCCCAGGGCTTACCCGACAGCTGGAGAACTGTCGCTCATTACTAAGAGCAACAGACATTCTTTCGGCATTGTCCTGGCGCTCTCCTGATAGGCTGGCCCGCCTGTTGGGGTGGAACCGTGGCGCCATCAGCTCTTTGTGACCCCACCTGTGACTGCAGCCCAACTCCATGACCCCATTTCCGCTTCCTGCAGGTGAGTGTCATCACGCTGTTTGCTCAGAACACAGCTGTTTGGCAAGGGCAAGCAGTAGATGTGGAGTCCGGGCCCCAACTGCGCTGGGCAATGTCCTTTTCAATGTCACAGACCCACTGGTGGCTGACTGGGGTTGTCTCCACTGACAAGAAGAAAAAAAGCGTTAGTTAACAATGACTCCTGAAAACATCATTGGTGCCTGTTTTTAAATTATATGGGAATGCGTCTTTTGAACAACCATTTGAAAGAAAGCTGGTTATTCCATTTTTTCCCCAATCACTTAGAATCATCACCTTTACTCCTTTAAGAGAAAGAACTTTTTAAAACTGATTACCACATTAATATATGGTCAATTGAGATATTTAAGTAAAAGAAGAAAAGCAACAAGAAAAAACTTGAAAGGACTTGTAGTCCCACCACCTACAGAAGACCACTATTAACCGTATGTGATCGTTCTTGTCTATTGTGTACTTTGTGCATTTTTTTACAAATTGAGTTCATACAAAATATACTACTTGTATCATTTGTCTAACATAGCAATATATTACTATCTTTCTATCATTCAATGTTCCTATATGACATCATTTATGAGGAATGTAGAATATTGTTTACAAATGACTAATAAGAAGAGAGTGAAACAATTAATGTATCGAGGACCCTAAACGTTAGATATTATAATGCCCTTTTTAAAGATGTGAAAATGAAGGTAAGTGAGCAGCCAGTTAATCATAGAACAGAGATGCCCACCATGTCTACGTGGTTTCAGGCCTAAACTCCTTCTCCCATACTCATGTTTCCTCCGAATGCCTTGTCATAAGACTCACCTTGGAAATCTGCATTATCAACATGTAATACATTTTATTAAAAACTGAATTCCAATTGAGAACCTATGAAGAGCTACCTGAGGTCAGATCATGATTCAGAAGGAAGAAGTTAACAAGATTGTGCCTCTGATGGAGACCGGACATGGTCAGATATGGTTTCTCACAACCTTACATGTCAAGAGGAAAGAACTCTAGACTAGATGTCAAGAGATCCGGGTTGTATTCTCACCTCCTCCAGTCACCAGCCACATCATTGAATGGCCACATCATTCAATTTATCTGAGCCTCAGTTTTCTAATCTACACATTGGGATAACACAACCTTCCCTGTCAAACTGAATAGATTCTAAATAGCAAAGGAAATAATGAAGCAATATACGAACATAAGAGACCTTTATGAATCCTACTATGGATCCATCAGTGGTGAATTTTCCGGCCCTCTAAAACACGTCAAAGAATTGTAAACAGAGAAGGAAACTCTGAGCCCAACTAATTTTAGAGACAGAGAGACTGACTTCCTGGGAAGGAAGGCAGCTTGCCTACAGATCAGAGTGAGTTAGGAACCCAG